GTCAAATCTGGGATTCCATTCTTGGAAAGATTTTCAAACTCATTTGTTTGGATGACTGACAGCACCTCCCTTGTTTTTTTCTTCAGCTCTTCTACATCGTCAAACTGCTGTCCTTTCATGTCCCTCTTCATTCACAGAAACAAAAAGAAGTCACATGGAGTGAAGTCAGGTGAGTAAGGTATGTGGGGCAAGAGAGGCATGCTGTTTTTTGCCCAAACTGGCACACTGAGATGACTGCGTGAGCAAGTATATTGTTGTGATGACAAAACTAGTCCCCTGTTTGCCACAAATCAGGTATTGTGTCACACATTGTTATGCAATCTTTTCAGAACCTCTAAATAGAAAGCTTGATTAACAGTCTGACCTGGTGGAGAGAACTCCAAATACATAATCACCTCACATCAAAAACCAATTGTTTTATTTGGCTTTGGCTGGTTTTTGCACTTATTAATGAATCTGCATGTCTATCTAGATAAGATAGGCAGGATACATAATTCAGAGATGAAAAGAACGGGACCAATGGTTCAGTGGGGATATGGGAGAAGGGGAGGTGGGAGAAAGGAAGGGGAGGGGGGTGCCAACCCAGGGACAAAGGAATAGCAAGTGAACTAAAATCAATAGAAGGAAGGTCATAGGATGCCTAGTGGGGCTCAATCAAAGGCAATGTAGCAGTGAGGAATTACTAAACCAGAATGAAGGCCAAACATGATGCTGGGACAAGAGGGAAGTCAAAAGAAAATAGAGGAAAGAACCAGGAAGCAAAGGATATTTATAAAGGCCTAAATACAGGCATGTACATATGTAAATATATATATAATGAGAGGGGACTAGAACTATGTACTCATATCTATATGTTAAGAATTAAGGTTGCAGACGGACATTGGGCCCCAACTCAAGTACTCCCTTGACACAAGAACACTTTGTTCTAATAACCTGGCATTCTGTTATGCTCACCTTCCAGACACCATTGCTGAAGACAAAATGGTGCATAAGCAAATGTGGTGAAGAAAGCTGATGGTGCCTGGCTATCAAAAGATACAGCATCTGGGTTCTTAAAGGCTGGAAGATAAACCAGCAGCGATCTACCTCAGAAGCAACAAAGCCCATATGGAAGAAGCACACCAGCCTGTGTGATCATGAGGGGTTGATGGGATCAGGTATCAGGAATCTCAGACCCAGAATAAAACCATACCCAAGGTGAATGGGGAGGGGGGGCATGGAGTGGAGACCCAATGCCCATCTGTAGACAATTGGACATCTCCTCACACAGGGGTCACAAGGAAGAGATGAGCCTGTCAGGGGGCAGTATAGTACTGATGAAACACACAACTTTCCTCTAGTTCTTCACCCCACTACCATGACCTCAATTCTATCTTACAAATCATACTAGACCAGAACATGCACACTGCTACAGATAAGAGCCCACAACACAGGGAAGCCAGGATAGATAAAACCAAGGATTGTTGAGACACCAGGAGGATTAGGGGAGGGTGGGGGGAAACCGATCATAAGGATCAAACTAGAACCTTCTCACAGGGCGAAGAATAATGGAAAAGTAGGTGAGGGGTGAAGGAGGATGAAGTAAGATATGGAAAATTAATCTATAACTTATCAAGGGTTCGTGAGGGAGGGTGGGAGGGGAGGTAGAGGGAAGAAATGGGTAGCTGATATCAGGGGCTCAAGTGGGAAGAGAATGCTTTGAAAATGATGATGGTGGCATACATGCAAATGTACTTAATACCCTGGAGGAATGTATGGATTGTGATAAGAGATGTAAGCGCCCCCAATAAAAGTTTTTTTTTTTTAAACCAAACAATGAAAGACAAAATAAATATATTTTCCCATATTTTACAGTAACCTAAAGAAAAAAATGTTAAAGAATTAATGACATGTTATGAATAAAGATCAAATAAATCTAAAAAACCAAACAAAACAAATGAGCATCACATTTGGGGGGGAACCCCCTCGTAAGTCTAAGGTTTATGTGTGCATGCAAATCCAGAGTAGAACTAAAGTGTTTCTAAAACTAAAATAACCACACAAACTATCTATTATCTATTTTAAATCAGCAGTTATAGCTAGCATATAAATTCTCAAGAATAAGTTGCTTAACATAATGTCTAAGAGACCAAATGGTCAACCATTACCTTAAAGCATAGACGTGGGGGGCATGGGGAGGCCGGGTGGGGGAACTAGTTTAACAGAAACAGAACCACCTGAATGGAAATAAAGAGAATGTCTGACATTCTGTAGCTATCGTAACAAGTGTCACCGAACAGTAGGTATCTCATCACTCACTGCCATCGAGTCGATGCGGACTCACAGCGACCCTATAGGGCAGGGTGGGACTGCCCCTGCGGGGTTCTGAGACTAGCACTCGCTACAGGAGTAGAAAGCCTCGTTTTGGAGCGGCTGGTTGCTCTAATCGCTGACCTTTCGAATCACATACCGATGCATAACCATTACTTCTCCAGGGCTCCTTGAGCAATATGTATAGAAACTGTTAAATGTGAATTTAACTTGCTGTCTATATTTTCATCATATATATACATAAACATAATAATTTTCTTTGCAATCACAAGAAACAAATTCAGCCCTTTCTGGAAAGTGAAACACACAATAGCTACCCCTCTTTCCTCCAAGAGTTGGTGCATTATGTTCTTGTGATAATGTTAGAGTCTGAGCACTGTTCCTTACTCCTATATTTTGACTATGAGAATTTTATTTATTTTCTAAGTCTTCAATTTTTCCCCTGCACCTGAAAAGTAAAGATGATCCTCAAAGATTCCAGCCTCTTCAACAACAACAACACCAGACTAGATGGGATTCCGAATAACCCCTTCTTAATATTGCCACCCCAGGTCTAAATGCAGACAGGGTGGCACTTTCCTACTGAGGACCTTCCAGTTCTGTTGCTAATTAAGGCAAATGTTTTCTGACTTTTCTGTCATTCACCTAGTGCTCCTGAAATCTAATTGCATTAGTAAATCAGTAAGAGGACTTTACTTTTAATAGGTCTGATCTTCTTTCTTTGTAAATAATACAACTTTTAGGATGTGTATTTTGTTTTCCTATCATTTCACAAAAGTCAAGGTTCACTGGGGCTCCGAAAGATTCTCAGGTTCATCCAGAGTGTGTAGCAGCACCCATTACAGCTGGCTAAACGGTCAAAGCTTGGCTACGTGATTTGTTTCTGGTTCCCAGGTATCTGAGAATTAAACCGCAGACCCCCAGGGAGCTACACTAACACTCTGATCCACTGTCACCCCATTTAGCAACTGCTTTGTAATGAAAAGCACCCACATTATATGAGAATGTTGACTCCCTTTCCCACAGGGACACATTGATCACTTAAGAGATACCATTGCTGAAATGTTGCAAATGTTAAAGTGAGAGACTTTAACTCCCATGTTGGGTTCATGTTTGTTTTTAGAAACGATGTCCCATGTGATAACTGTAGCGATGTGATGAATTTTCTTCAGCTGTTCCAACTCTGAGGACGTGGATATTTCCCCTGAAGGTGAGCAGAGCACCTTTTGTACGGACTGTCATTTTCACTTTCCTAGCTGTAGTCGTTTCAGACTCCACATGACTCTTACGCATGCATGCACACCATATGAAAGGTGGGGACAACATGCAGGGGACAGAGGCTAAGAGATTATACCTGTCACCACGTGTAGATAAAGAAGTATTTGTAATCGAGAACTATAGAAATCTACAAAAGAACACTTTTTGTGTATGGTGGAAGATAACTTCCAATGTCATCTTGTGTAACTCGGACAGGCTAGTCTTACTGATGGGGTAACAGAGAAGGAGGAAGGCAAACAGCTGTGACTAAAGTCACAGAGCTTAGGTAATTATAAAATAAAAAGGCTCTGAATCCTAGCTCAATATTCTAATTACAGTTCATGATTTCTATATAGAACTACAGAGAACAAAGCTAACTAAAACTGCTCTGTATGCAATGTCTTTCCATGAAAAGATTTCTAGGTTTATTAGCACCCATTGTATGTTACAACTAAATTATTTTTTAGAAATCAATTAAAGTGTGAAGTTATAGATAGCAGAGTTTTGCTATTACTAAATAGTAGCTTCTGAAATTTTATTGTTATTAAAATAGTTGTCAGTTCATCAAATGCTTCAGTAGAATTGTAGTGTTGGCAACAAATATTGAATAAACTATGAACTGTCAGAAGAAGGAATGAATTTGTCTTGGAAGAAGTACAGCCAAAATGTTTCTTGGAAGCAAAGACAGTGAGAATTCATCTGCGTGCTTTGGACATGTTGTGAGGATGGACAAGTCTACGGAAAAGGACATCGTGCTTGAAGAAGGAGAGGTCAATGATAAAGAGGGATGGATTTATACAATGACCACAACAATGAACTTCAGAAAACAACAATTGTGAGGGTGGCACTGAGTTTATCACTGCTGTGCATGGGGTCTCTGACTCTATCGTACCCACAAGATGGCAATTAACAACAACAACAATATTCAAGCTGATGGGAAATGGTTGGGATATCAAAATTTTATACTTACATTCATTCCCTGCTATTGAGTTGATTCCAACTCATAGAAGCTCTGGAGGACAGGCTAGCCCTGTCCCTGTGGGTTTCTGAGACTGTAAGTCTTTACTGGAATCTCCCTCAATTGGACCATGGGTTTGAATGTGTAACTCATGATGCCACCAGAGCTCCCAATACTGAAAATAGACGCCTCAACTCTTGTGTATTTTAAGTTGTTAAGGATAATTTGTTTTAATAATTATCATGGCTTTTCTTTGAAATCAAGTACCTGGTAGTGCCAGCCTCTCACAATAGATGCTTCCTATTCAACATCAAAATACAAATATTAGCCACTTTCTCTAGTGGCTCAGCACCTTTAGAGCAAACTAGCACGCTTACTTCACAATGAAAAAGGTCAATTTTGGTTCCAAATTATATATAGACAGTTGTAGGGACAAAATAGAAATTGAATACACCAAGGTAACAGTTTGAGAAAATGAGGATTATATAATCTAATATCTTTAATTTTATGTACATGAATATAATGTATGTCAACTTTGTACAGGCGATACATACAGTCTTTAAACGTTTTACTCAACAAATAAGAATTTACAATAGCAATATCACTGACTAGAGGGCTGTCCACTTAATAATACTTAGATTAGATTTTTACTTTAACAGGTTTAAAAGTTTACAATCATAGAAACACTGACATTTTAAAACAAGACTTTATAAAATAATTTATGTATATCCTAGCATCTATTGAGAGGAATGAGTTGCATTTGTGGAGGTGTGCAATGAATGGCATATTTTAAATTTTAGGTAATAAAATAATTTAGAAGCAGTTCATGCAGTGGTCAAAGCAGGGGGCGGCAGTTCCTTCGACATGCCCTCCACCTGTGACGTCGACAGGGCATCGATGCACACTGGGTACCGCGGGGGGCCCAGGAGACCCAGTCTCCTCCAACAAGGACTTAGGTCAACATAAATAGACACAAGTTGGTATCTTTTCTTACACAGTACAAATGCACGTCACAACTTCTCTCAGCTGTGGGAGTCGTCGTCCGTTGATACTTAAAGTGATGGCATTCCCCTGCTGGAGTTCCACGTCTCTCTCTCTACAAGGAACTAGCACAACTTCCTGGTCTTCACCACCTTACTCTGATACTTGACCGAATGCCCCCCGTGACCGATGACGTAAACATCCAGCAGGTACGATTTGCCCGGCTGAAGACCTCGGATGGTTTCGGTGGTCACTGCTTTTTGCAGGTTTTCACTGTGGAAATATTTACACAGGACCTTCTCTGATTTCTTCCGCGCGTCTGGTCCCAGGCATTGGTTTTGGTCCCTCTTCTTCTGGTCCTCACTGTAGTTATCGTCCACTTCCTTCTTGTAGATGCAGAACTTGTTCCTTTCCTGCGTGCCCAGCCACGCCACGGTGGCAGAAGAACAGGTGCGCAGCCTGTCGAAGGCTTTGATCCGCGTGTCCTCAGGGAGCGAGGGGAAGGAGTGCTTGCTGGGCTTTGTGGTGGCCAGTAGTTTCAGCATGGACGCTCCTTTCTTGCTTCCTCGCAGTCTGATGAGGTACTTTGCTTTCGGCTTTCCTCGAAGCTGAAACTGCCGGACGTCTTCCACGTTCTGGGACAGCAGGAGCTTCCCGTCTCTTCGTACTTGGACTTGGACAGCGTCCAGGCAAGAATGGACGAAGAAGGTGACTTTTTGGTGCGAAGAGACTGGCGCAAACCGGAGGAACTTGGCTCCCTTCCTTTTCACAAACACATCGGTCACTTTCCCATCTTTCAGCTCGACTGTCGTCTGCTTAGCTTCTTCCTTGGTCCTGGCAAAGGTGCCAACATAGGCAGTGCTCATGTTGCTGTTGCCGTTGCCCACAAAGACGTCAAAGTAGTACTGCGTGTCCGGCTTCAGATCGGACACAGTGAAGAGATTCTTGTTTCCAATGCAGATTTTCTGAATGTCAGCCCTGGGCCTCAAGTAGACGTGGCGGCCGAGCTTTGGAGATGGCTTTGCTAGGAAGCCACGAGTCTTACCCAAGTTCTCGGGAGGAAATCCAAAGTGGGCAAAGTCAAAGGGGCTGAAGTGCACACCAGGCTTGGGCGCCATCATAAAGGCATCGTCGACACTCAGCTTTGCTTCCACTGCACAGAGGCTCTTAAAATTGTGCTCCTTGTTGATGACCACACAGTACTGGATGGGCTGTCTCAGCAAAGAGGCCGTTGGGCTGGGTTTCCAGGCCAAAGTGACGGTGGTGCGGCCCAGGGAGGTCACATCTACTCTTGGATCATAAGGTAGTTCCGGATATGGTTGGTCGGACTCTGGCGTTGTCGTGGCGTACACTTTGAAATGGGTATCTTTCTCTGTGGAAAGAAGCTCCAACTGATATAACCCAGATGGAGAGCTAGAGGATGTGAAATACTCAACATCATTGCCCGTGTAGGAGAACAGCTCCGTGCCCTCCTCACGGATGACCTGCTGCTTCTGCTGCTCAAGAGGTTCCGGCTCGCCTAGAAGACACAAGAGAACCAGAGGTGGGGCATGTCAGGGCAGTGGCTCACCAACTTGAAATTACATTTTTAAGGCTATCTTACGTAGTTCCTCCATTCTGAACATAGCACACGCTTATTGTACAGAATTGGGGGGGAGGGGGAGACAAAAATATCAGGATGAAAATCATCCGTTAATTCATGATTTAGGACCCAGCACCACAGAAGTTGCTTTTGCCTTGATGTAGACTTGATCCAACCCAGAATAGAACTGTGCTCTACAGGGTTTTCCAAAGAAGATTCTTCACTGCCAGGCCTTTTGTCCCCAAGGGCCTCTGGGACAGTCAAACTGCCAACCTTCCAGTTAGCAGTCAAGCATATAAGCATGTGTACCACACAGACGCCTAATTAGACACAGCTCTTTATAGAAGTAATTTGGTCTATTACTATCTAGTATTTTCTTTTGCATATTTTATACAGTTGCTATTAGTTTCCCTTGCCTCTCCTTATAACTTAATAATATCTATTCTCATGCATAAATTTACTTAGACAAGCCCCTATTTTCATATTCAATTTGTGTCACTTAGTATTGTAACACCACGGTAACATTGTTTGCAATTTTTCAGTATTACAAAAAATAATATTCTAATATCCTTCAGTAGTCCCCATAGTCTCTCTTAATCTTTCATTTCATTAACATCACTGTTATTCTTCATTTCTCTCCAAATCTTCAGTTTCAGTTATGCACCTTTGCTTCATTTGTTTTTATTGTTATTAACAGAAGCTTGTATGTTCCATAAACCATTGACCACCCATACAGAGATCAGGGCCATCTATCCTGTTTCTTACCTGAGCTTTCCCCACTGGCCTCTTCAGGTAGCTCCTGGAGGCTCAGTTTCCATTCCAAAGGTGCATCACAGGGCGTCACGATGACTGATAATGGAGTATTGTCTTCCTCAACCACAAAAAAATACCTGCAGGAAAGCAGACCAATTCAGATCACCAGGATTCCTTCCTACACTTAGAATCAAGACAGAGTATGCAAATCATTGTATTTTAACTGTTATTTATTTAGCAGAGGACTAAACTGCCCATTTGACACAAATTATAGCATTTAAAAGCTTAGTTGTAGAAATGACTGAAGGTCCTGCAAACAAATTTATTATCAGCCTAGCGTGAAATAAGAAGCCATTGAACCAAAAGTGCTTTGAGTTAGGAATCAACACTTAGCTGAGTTGTAGTGTTATTTAACAAAGGCCACACCATTGCAAAGTAGGCCACCACTCTAGCCACGTTTCTAGGTGCGCCACTCTGCAGGTGCCACCATTTCCCACAAATTTGGTCATAATTGTAAGGTACTTGGGAGAGTTTGTGACAGTAGCCAACTACTTCAAAATGTCATTTTGACAACGAAACAGTTCTAAACTGGTTTTTCTCACTGCTATCCAGTCAGGTCTGACTCGTAGCGATCCTATAGGGAGGGTAGAAGTGTCCCTGTGGGTTTCTGAGCGGGGCTCTTTATGGGAGCAGAAAGCCTCGTCTTCCTCTGGTGGAGTGGCTGGTGGTTTAGAGCTGCTGACCTTAGCACCCCAATGCATTACCACTCTCTGGCAACATAACGGCACAGTCACATTTTTACATTGCAATATGCTACTGTAAGGTCACACTAGAGACTTTTATTCATCACTTTACTATTTCTCCCCACCACCCCCCAAAAAGGTACTCACTATTTGCAAACCTTCTTAAAAAAAAAAAGTAAAGACCACTGTATCAGTGAGAAGACTTCTTTTTCTATGCTTTCATCTATCATTAAATTTTTCTTTTGAATAAGGTATTTTAAGGTGTCCTTACATGGAGCAAACCTTTAAGCACCCGACAGCTAGTCAAGGGGTTGGTGGTTGGAATACATGAACAGGTGTCTTGGTGAGCTACGTGAAACCCCTATCTATAGAAGAGGCTTACTGTACACATGGGGGTTGCCAAGTGTTAGAATCAACTCCATGGAAACTACTAACTACAACAATGATCTTAAAACCACATTTACAAATGAAAACATATTTGCTCTCTATTTTTCTTTCAGGCTTTTCTGTTATGCCTCAAATGACTTTTCTAGGTGGATAAAAATACTGCCTAACTATGACAACCTGTATATTCTCTCTGAATAACTTAAATAATTTCATTTAATTATCTTCTTAAATCTATGATCTTGTAAATAAGGTAAAAAGGATTTCAGTTCTGGCAAGCCAGGTAGCTCACTAGTTCCTTGGTAGAAAAATTGTGGGTTGGATTTCTCTTCTCTTCTCTCCTTCCTCTTTAAGTGTCTCCTCCCTATTCTGTGCTTTTCCATCACCATCACACTTTTCAAACCGAGCACTGAAGCCTTCTTTCTAAACCTACTCCCTTGCTGGTTTCTCATTACCTCTTCAATCTCTGAATCCTGTGATGAACCGGGGAATGTGTCCAGAGGCCTCTTTGCCACCAGCATTCACTCCCAGAGGGATCTCAACAAGTTTGTGATTCAAAACTCCTGTGCTTCGTTGTTGTTGGTATTAGGTCCTGTTTAATTGTTGTCGACCCATAGAAACCCTATGCACAACATAATCCTACATACAACAGAATCCTATACACAACAAAATCCTATACACAACAGAATGAAACACAGCCTGGGCCCGCACCATGCTCACAATAGTTGCCAAGTTTGAGCCCATTGTGGCATCCACTGTGTCAATCCCTTTCCTAAGGGCACTCCTATGTTTCACTAAACCTCTGCTGTACCAATCCTGACGCCCTTCTCCAGAGTCTAGTCCCTCCTGATAATACATCTGAAGTACGTGTTATTAGGATGGCGAAACTTCCTCGCTTCCCAGGAACGTTCTGGCTATACTCCATCCCAGACAGATCTGTTTATTCTTCTGGCAGTCCATGGGACTTCACCTGTTAGTAACTCCCGAATTCAAATAATCACCCTAAACTTTTTCCTAAACTCTACATTCATGTTCAACTATCTTCTTATCATCTTTAGTTGTATTTAGTGAGAAGCCAACTTAAGAAATCTGTTCCAAACTTCTGATTCTTCTTCCCAGAAATAAGTTTCTGAAATCTATCCCTTATCAGTAAGTGATGCCTCCACAATTCTAGTAGCTCAGGGGAATGGCAGTGATCTATATATGTCAACTAGGTAGGCTATAATTCTCAATGGTTTGGCAGATACTGGACTGGCTGCTCTTCTAGAATGTAATGGAACCCCCTTTTATGACCTTATCTTAGGTAATCGCTCAATCAGTTGGGAAAAGGAGAGTTTCCTTGGTGATGTGGCTTGCCTCCAGTACATACACATATGTTCTACCAAAGCTCTCACCCCTGTGTTCTTCGCATTACTTAGCCACTGATTCCTGGGACATAAGCTCTGCTCTGCAGTCTGTTCTGCAGATGTTGAGGTTTGCCAGCATCTGTAATCCCACGAGCCAATGGAGATGTCCAATTTGATGCCTGGCCTATAGATTTGGGCCTTGTCAGTTCCATAATTGCATGAGGCAAATATGTAGAGACATTCCTGACTTTTTCTTTCTCTTATACTCCACATTGAGTCAATCAAACACACCCTTTTGGTTCCACTTTTAAAAACATATCCAGAATCTATGATAATTTCATATTATTTCACCTGATCCAAGTCACCATGAGTGCCTAAGTATTGAGCAAATACCTTTCCTGCCTCCACCAGTGCCCCACCTTAGTTCATTCTCCCTTTTACAGAATGATCCTACATCAGAACATACCACTCAACGTTGCTCAAGATCTATCTTAAAGTCCAGTACTATATGTAATACAATAATATTTGTATGCCTCTAAAGAAGACCAGTGTGTCAGTGCATCTCATTGAGGGCTGCCCTCATTTTTGCTGCCATCCTACTTTATAAAGCATGATGTCCTTCTCCAGGGACTTGCTGCTCCTGATAACATGCCCAAAGTATGTAAGATGAAGCATTACCATTCTTGCTTCTAAGGACAATTCTGGCCGTACTTCTTATAAGACAGAGACACTGATAATGACTGTTGATGGGATAAGTAAAGGTGGGAAAAATAGGTAGGATTTGAATTTGGAAAATATGGTGATGGAAATGGTGTTAAAAATCATATGAGGAGGAGAAAACAATGGGACCGATGGTTCTGGGAGGACATGGGAAAGGGAAAGGTGGGGGAAAGGAAGTGGTGTTGACCAGCCCAGGGACAAGGGAACAACAAGTGATCCAAAATTAGTGGCAAGGAGAGTGTGAGAGACCTGGTAGGGATTGATCCATGGCAATGTAACCGAGAGAAATTACTGAAACCCAAATGAAAGCTAAGCATGATAGTGGGACAAGAGGAAAGTGAAAGGAAATAGAGGCAAGAACTAGGAGGCAAAGGGCATTTATAGAGGTCTAAATACAGGCATGCACATATGTAAATATATTTATATATGATGATGGGGAAATAGATCTATGGGCATGTATTTATAGGTTTAGTATTAAGGTAGCAGATGGATATTGGGCCTCCGCTCAAGTACTTCCTCAATGCAAGAACACTGTATTGTATTAAACTGGCATTCAATGATGCACACCTTCCCTACATGATTGCTGAAGACAAATGTGAGCATAAACAAATGTAGTGAAAAAAGCTGATGGTGTCCAGCTATCAAAAGATATAGCATCTTAAAGGTTTGAAGGTAAACAAGTGGCCATTTAGCTCAGAAGCAACAAAGCCCACATGGAAGAAGCAAACCAGCCTGTGTGACCATGAAGTGTTGAAGGGATCAGGTATCAGGCATCAAAGAACAAAAATTATATCATTGTAAATGACAGGGAGTGCAGAGTGGGGACCCAAAGCCCATCTGTAGGTAATGGGACATCTCCTTCCAGAATGGTCTCAGGGAGGAGATGAGCCAGTCAGGGTGCAGTGTAGTAACAATGAAACATAAACTTTCCTCTAATTCTTAAGTGATTCCTCACCCTCACTATCATGATCCCAATTCTACTTTACAAATCTAGCTCAATCAGAGGATGTACACTGGTACAGATAGGAATCGGAAACACAGGGAATCCAGGACAGATGATCCCTTTAGGACCAGTGGTGAGAGTGGCAATACTGAAGGGTGGAGGGAAGGTGGGATGGAAAAGGGGAACCAATTATAAGGGTCTACATATTACCTCCTCCCTCAGGGAGGGACAACAGAAAAGTGGGTGAAAGGAGGGAGACATCGGACAGTGTGAGATATGACAAAATAATAATAATTTATAAATTATCAAGGGTTCATTGGTGGGGGACAGGGAGGGAAGAGGAAAATGAGGAGCTGAAACCAAGGGCTTTTGTGGAGAGCAAATGTTTTGAGAATGATGAAGACAACGGATGTTCAAATGTGCTAGACACAATGGATGTATGTATGGATTGTGATAAGAGCTGTATGAGCCCCAATAGAATGATTTTAAATCACATGATATAATTTGGTAAGACCAATGAATTATTGCACACACCCTTTTTAACAATATAAATGGCTAATACATACATGAACCTTGTCTGATGAAACACACAATTGACTAAATCTGTGGAATGAGATGATAGAGAAACTCATTATCATCAGCCCAAACAAGTGGTTGACTGTGTAACAGACCATCAATTGCTCATATCGTAAGTTCAGTTTCAAATTGAAGAAAATTTAAACAAATGCATAAGAGTTGAGAGGCTGTCTCAAGAACACTCAGTGCATTTAACCCTAGTGAAGGAAGATCTTATAAGTTGTGTGATGACATCAGGAACATCATACATGAAGAAATTAAAAGATCGTTAAAAAGACAGCAAAGAGAAAAAAACCAAAATGAGAAGACTAAGTTAAGTGTAATAATGAGATTTGCAAACACTTGGAGTTAGGGAAAGAATACACAGCATAAAGAAGTCAAGAAAAAATTCAAGTCTCAAGTTATAATACTGAAGGAATCTGTAG